TACCCTTCCTGAATAACTTCGGGCCATCTATTCGACCCCGCTCCCACTTGCGCACCTGTATCCCACGAGCATCAGAACCCATGTTCGTACAGGGCTTCGTAGAAATTCCTGAGCACGATCAAAGTGCGGTCTGGTTGCCGGTTGTCCTACCAGCTATCTGGCGCGCTTGTGATGGCTGTAGAAGTGTTGGACTATGATGTTACGGGCGGCCGCTATACCTTGCCTCCGGATCTCACGGTAGATATGCCGAGCTCTGTTTCAGCGATAAGATGGCAACGATCATAATGGACCTCGCGTGGAAGCCATTTCTTCCCCGGCATGTTTGCTACTCTTCGCGTCATCGCCTCAGCTGAAGTTACGCGAACGACGGTGGTCCGAGTGGGCGACCTGGTTGCCGCTCAGGACATCGTCAACAATTCTGGAAAGGTATCATCAACGCGCTTGGCTGAGCTCAAGACACGGTTGGACAGCCAGTGCTTCGCCGCCGAGTTGTTGTCCAATGCCCAGAGCGTCATGGCCTCAAAGTACGTATTGCGGGGCCAGCGAGCGGTCTCCGTGGAAAGCGATCTTGAACCGCGCGACGCACTTCCCAGCGCTTTTTTGCATGTCGCCATGATTGCTCCCTGGTCAGTCTCGACGTAAATGAGGCTTTCCTCCAGGACCTTCTATGCAGAGAACTGGCCGAAGCCACAGGTGAGCAGGGTCGCATTGCATGCTTCACTATGCCTCCTGGCAGGGCTGCTCTCCTTCGCGCGTTGCCCGGTTCCGACGGCCACGGCGCGTCGCTTCGTTGTCAAGAGCGCGTCGAGCCCGGCGCCGGCGCCGGGAATGCCCTTCGAGCCCCTCGTGCTTAAACTGATCGCGGAAAGCATCAGTCTCAAGTCCAGGTCTTACAACCAGGGGTACATGGCCGCCATGGATTTGCTCACGGCCGAACACATGGGCGACATCAGCATGCGCAGCAAGCAGTGCCGCGCAGGCGCCTTCGTCAAACAGGTCGAGCAGGCATTCGGCACATGCGCCAACGCAAATTGCCCATTCAGGCATACCTAGACGGAAAGGGGAGATGTTGTCATGGTCATGACGAGCACGTCGAACATCTTCGCCCGATTGCGCATTCCGCTCTTGCGGGTGCTTCCCCAGGAGCAAAGGCTAGTAATCTTGTCGGTGACAGGTTTGTTGGCCTACGGGGGGGCCCGAGCGCGTTCCGCGTTTGCCCGCTTATAGATTCTGGTGCATTGCATGGGGCCGACTATGTGTGCTGGCGAGACGATTGGACGCCAGCGCCCGCAGACTGTCGCAGGAGACCATGAAGACCATCTACCAAGCCATGGCCCCTAATGTCGCCGTAGACGTGCGCGGCGGTTCTGGGCGTCGGATGCTCGCTGGCCAAGGGGGCGACGTGACCGAGGGTGGCGGCCTTCGTGGGTGCAGTCTGCTGCGTCGTGGAAACACGAGCAGTAAAGAGGAGGTCGTGCCCTGCGTTGACAGCCGCTGCAAATTGCGTCGCGCTCACTTCAAGTCAAGTCCAGCTGCGCTGCCGAAGCATTTGCTGCAGCTCACAGCGCGGCCTAAACATGGAGCTCTTGAATCCGTCCGAGCTCAAACGCTTCCGTGAATGCGGTGGGTTCTGCGCTCAGTCGGCGGCGCCCCGACGCGCTGGCGCCGCGCGCGCGTCGCTCCTTCGGGGGCGGCGCGCGCGCCCAGAAATCTTTTAGCACGCGCGCCGTGGCGGGCGCTTTCTGGCCGCGCCGCTCGGGGAACGATGCGCCGCGAGATGGCATTGCTACGCGCTTTCGGGTCGGGCGCGCGCCTCCGAGGCGGGCGCGTGGCACTAGTGTGTCTCCGTGTGCCCCGCTCAGGTATCCCTCGCACTTGGCGCCGAATCAGGACCAAGTCATTTCCCTTTCCATTGTGGATCTCAGGACACCTGCGGAGAGGACGCGCTTGGGGCAGATCAGGTGGGCGCTAGAATTCTTGAGCCCTGGCGCCAATAGCGACGCCCAGCGGGGCGACGCCCGTGACAAGGCGGCAGATGGCCAAGCCAAGGGCACGATCGACCGCGACTTGCCGCTGCAGGTCGTGGCTAGCTACCAGAGCAACGCGCGCGACGTCAAACCGGGCGCGACGCATCGGAGCGATGGGCCCCCCATCGCCGGCAGATGTCCACTGTTGCTGTTCACGCGCGCTAGTAGATTCTAGCGGTCTGGTGGATCATTCATCTGCAGCCATTCTGCGCATGCGCAGGGGGGGCCTCTTCCTGGCCCCGCGCAGAGCCTTCGCGGACCGCGACTGTTCCGAAGCGAGCCCGTGCTCCTTTCGCACTTGGCTGTCGCGGAATCGCGACGGCATGCGTTGCTTGTTGTAGTCGCAGAGTCGTGACCTCACTTGCTGTTTTTGTGCGCCTGGGCCTCCCTGGCCTGTCTTGCCCGAGCTGCACTGTGTTGTTCGTCTCTGCCCGTCGCACTTTGGTGCCAGCTTGCCGGGCTCATCAGCCCGTTTTTATGCACTGTGCCGGTGGTCGAAGTTTTCGACTACCGATATTTCTGGTTTTCGCAAGCGCTGCCTTGAGCCTCTACAGTGAGGTGGCGGCTGTCGAGCTTCGCTAACCCCATATCGATTTTGAGGGAATCCCTCGAGAGGGGCAGTTACATAATGCGTTGTTCGTCAGCCGCCGCCTTGGCTCAAGACGGCGCCACCCTATCTGCCTACGTGGCTAGCTCCGCCTGCTGCGTGTTTTCTGCGGCGGCTCGGGAAGACGAAAAGCCTTTGTCTTCTCCGTGCTGCCATCGCTGCCATCGTACTCTTTCTTTCGTACATTCCATGCAGAATGCGATGGGGACTGCCTTTTCAGACCCCCCTGGACGGCCCCATGTGGCCATCGTAGGGTCATGTTGGAAGTCTGGATTCCGAATCTCGCTCCTGAGGCTTCGGGAAAAGTCACGCGACACGTCCAGCGCGCCCCATGCATGGCCAGGAACGCCTGAAAACGGCCACGTGGGTCAAACGCCGACCTATAGAATCCGCACGGAGTTTCGACATTTAGTGTTAATTTAGTTGTTTCCCATGTGCCAGCAGCATCTGAACATTGCAAAAGAGGGTTTTTCGAAGCCAGCAGATGGACGCGGTTTTCCTGGCCGCCGTCGATGCCGCTGAGCAGGATCCGCAAAAGCAAACTCGGAGGTCGCAGTTGGGCAACGGGGCTCGCGTAAGAGGAGTCAAGGCTGACCCCTCTGCTGATTCAAGTGACGTTCAGACATTTGCGGGACGCGGTGGTTCTCAGCAGCCTGCCGGCGCGCAGCGTCAGGGCCGGGCCACTCGGCCCATAAGCGTCGGAGAGATCGGACATCAAGGCCACCCCGTTTGCAGGCATTTCCGTGGCGCCGTCGCGTGTCAGTGGGTATTGCCCCGTTCATTAGGAAAACATTCAGGCGTCGGGATCGGAACAGTGGAGACGAAATCTGTTGCGTGCGGCTGTTTTCGGCCCCGCCAACCTGGCGTTTACCTCGATAAATTGGTGCCTCCGGCGCCGGGAGGCACCACGAAAGCTAACTGCACACATCTGACTCGCTGGCCCCCCCCCTTCCGTCCGATCCGGTCCTCTGGGGACAGGCTAGCGCGGTTGCAGGTTGGAGAGTGTGCGCTGTCTTTCGTGCGCCGCCAGAATGTGTCCCCATCCATTGCCGCGGGGTCGTGTTTCGGGGGCCCAGAGAGCGGTGGATATGGAGGTCCTCTTGCCCACGAGGGCGGGCAGATATCCGCCTCCATCTTTCCTCGATGTCCCAGGGCATGATTCCGAGGCGCGGCCAGCAGGAGCAAGAGGACCTTTCGCATCGCTGCCCCCGCGCCCCGCCCTCCGCCGAGGCGGCCCGGAGGCCTCGAAAGGCGAAGGGCATCGTCAGGACAGCTCCGTGTGCCTTGCGGTTGGGGGGAGGTCTCTTGTCTTCGTATTTGGTTGGGGGGAACCGCGCCGCGTGACCGGGACGTGCAAGTGCGCGTTGACATGCAACATGCACAGTGAAGGACATCCAACCTAAGGGTGTCCTCGTGTCGCGATGGTGCCAGTGTTTTCCCCTACCCGACAGGTTGGGGTCGCTAGGTTTTAGGAGCAGACCTCCCAGCCCGCCCGCCCTGCATACCGCGGCCGCCAAATCCCCAGGCTCCCGACAATCCCTGGTGGTCCCGCCCCCAGCGCCGACTCGCCCACCCTGCAGATCGCGGCCGCCAGATCCCCAGGTCCCCCGGTAGTCCCTGAGGGTCCTGCCCCCCGCGCCGAGTCGCCCACTCTGTATACCGCGGCCGCCAGATCCCCAGGTCCCCCACAGAACACAGCATAACACCACACCACCGAAAGGAGCAGATCCGAGCACAACACACCAGATCATGACATACTACAATACCGCAACATAACATGCCATGACAGACCAGTGCATACCATTGCACAGCATCACAGCACCTATACTTGCATAGCATGACAACACAATCATACCATAACACATCATCGCATAACTGACCATACTAACACATCACATGTCGCACCATCACACAACATGTCATAACATAACATGTCACACCACAGCTTAGCACGCATGACATGGCAGATCGGAGCATGCAGAACATACCATGATCTAGCATGACTTAACCTAGCACGTCGGATCGTCACATACTATACCATGGCATCATAAACCACAGCATAACACAGCATCACAGCACATGCCATTCCATAACGTAACAAAGCATGTCATGACAGAGCGCGGCATACTATACCATGGCGTAGCAAAGCATGGCATAACATGACACCATAAGCTATGACAGACCAGTATTCGTCACACAAATCGTAGCATGACACCAGACCTCATAACACAACTTGCGACATGGCCTGACCGCCGTACTGGCCGGGACCACCGCGTTCCGCGCACATCGTTCCAACGAGCGCGCGCACCTTCGGGATCAAACGACGAAGGTTTCGGTGAGGATCGCTCGAAGCAAAATAACGTGTGCTGGTGAAGTGCCATTGTGGCCAGTCCTCGTGTAGCGTGCTATTGCGACGCGGCGTCATGACCTCAAGCCGAGCAGCGTGCGAACGAGGTGTTTTCTCTCATCCCCCCCATCCCCTCGCCCTCCTCCTCTTATTTGTGCGTGCGCGGCCGGGCTTTTCGGCTCGAAGCGAGGAGATATTTGGCCTCCTCGCCAGCCGCGCTTGGGTTTGCCGCTGGCGGTCCCGCGGAAACGTGGGCCTAGAGGGGCAAACAAATGTTGGTCAATCACGGCTAAGAGCACGTCACCTGTTTAACTATTATAACAGTGAGCCTGGATCTCGAGTGCACTTAATTTCTTGGCTTTAAGGTAGTCGGCGTTGAATGTTGTACCAGTCCTTGATCCACAAGGAGACGGACCCCGACCAAGACTACGACGGGTGGTATCAAAAAGCGACGACGAGTGCATGCCCATGTTTTGCGGCATGCGTTTGAATCCCCAGAGGATGCCCGCCATTGACACCCCTAGACGGGCTCCACATTGATGCGCGCATCCAGGGCTCGTCGGGCTCGTCCTCGTCGCCAGCTCCTCCTGGCCCCGTGCCCGGGGCCGCGCCCCCTTGTGCTCGTCGGCCCCTCCGGGCCGCGCTCGGACCTTTCCGGCCCCATGCCCAGAGGTCAGGCGCCCCGCATCTCGCCTTCGCCGAGATGCCCGCCGAGCCCCTCCTGCGCGCTGCGCCCCCGTTGTCGTCGTCGCCGCGGGCCCGTCATGCTCAGCGCCCGGGTTCTGCGCCGCCCCCCCCCGCGAGCTTCTCGTGGCACGCGTCGTGAAGCTTGATTTGGGCGTCCCGTCATCGGCTTCCCGGTCCTGGCCGAGCTTGTTTCAGTATCGCTGTCCTCGCCTTGGCCCCTGCACTGTTTCTAGATTGCGAATGCACCGAATCACGCCGCAGGAAGCTCAAGTGGCGGTGGTAACCACAGTACACATGATGGTCAGAGTGAGAGGGCCGAACGGTCTTACACCGTCCGTGGGTGCGTGGGTGAAGGTGGGATTCTGCGTCGCGAATTCTGCTTGTTGTTGTCGTCGTCCCATCCGAGATCGACCCCTCGTTACACCCGCGACCCACTCCGCGACCTGCCCACGAACCACATGCGACCAATCCGTGACCCACCCGCGACCCATTCCGCGACCCACCTGCGACCCACCCGCGACCCATTCCGCGACCCACCCCGCGTGTCAACCATCCTCCAAACCACCATCGACAACATAATGGTTTCGGACAGCGCAACCACCGCGAGACCACCCGCGACTCACTTTGCGAACCACTGGTGACCCACGTACTCTCATTTGACAGCATGAGAACACAAGATTGGCGCCTGCGGCTGGCTGCGTTGCATATATTTGGGGCAGCGCAACGACCGCGCGCACGTTCCGCGTCCCATACGCGACCCACCCCCACGTTGAATCCGCACGGCCTCTCCGTTCCTTCCTCGACCTTTCTCCTTCCTCATTCTCTTCCTCTCCAGGTATCCTCCGTCCTCTTCCGCATCGGGGGGTCCCAGGACCTCTTGGGATGCAGCTGGGCCCTCGAAGGCAATGCTTAGTAGGGGGGGTCCCGGGACCTCTTGGGGTGCAGCCAGGCCTTCGAAGGCAATCATGACATTGGTTTCATTTGCAACTGCCTCTGGCAATTCCGCCGCCGCGCCCAGGACGGGGGGGGACCATGGGAGCGCGCCTCAAGGCGCCCACGGGAAAGGGGTTTTGGCCATCCGCTTGAGTCACCGCTGGGTTCTTGAGTGGATAGGGGGGTTATGGGTGGATGCTGATGCGGGGTATACCTGGCCTGACCTGGCTTATAGGTTAGAAGTGCCCAGCGCGGCTCAGGGGTGGTGAGGATCTGGGCGCAGTGGGCGGAACCAACTTAGCCCAATTGGCGAGCCCACCTCCTCCTCTCTCCTCCTCCTCCTCCTCCTCTTCCTCCTCCTCCTCCTCCTCCTCCTCTTCGTCCTCCTCCTCCTTCTCCTCCTCCATGTCATTCTGGGCATTTGTAACCCATTCATAGTCTAGGTTAGGCCATACGTAATCCGCCTGAGCATCCTCATATAACCCCCTATCCACTTAGCAACCCCCGCGGTGATCCAAGCAGGAACGATGCCCAGGCGAGTTTCCTTGATCAGGGAAGTGGGGGGCCGTGCAGTGGAACGAAGGAGCTGCTGGCCGTTCTCAGTGGAAAGATGGGAGGGAGGATCAGAAAACTGGGGAAGAGGATGACGAGGGGACATCGGGGGAAGTCGAAATCAGGGGAGGAGCAGGGGGGCAAGGAAGACGAAATGGATGAGGAGACAAGGATAGGAGGAGGACGAGGAGGAGGAGGAGGAGGAGGCGGAGGGGGAGGAAGAGGAGGACGAGGACGAGGACGAAGAGGAGGAGGAGGGCGAGGAGGAGGAGAAGGAGGAGAAGGAGGAGAAAAATGATGAGGAGGACGATGACGAGGAGGAGGACGACGAGGAGTAGGAGGAGGACGAGGAGGAGGAGTAGGAGGAGCAGGGTCGAAGAAGGGGAGGAGGAAACGACGATGATGCTGCTGATGATGATGACGATGGTGGTGATGATGATGATGGCGATGGCGGTGACGGTGATGAGGATGAAGAAGAGTGTGCAGAAGACTATGATGATGATGAGGAAAGGGATCAGGATGAGGATGAGGATGAGGATGAGGATGAGAAGGACGACGAGGAGCAGGAGGGGGAAGAGGGTCGCAGGAGCTGGAGGAGGACGAGGAGGAGGTCGACGAGGACGTGGGCAGCAGTACTTCTCTGCTGTGGAGTGCGCTGGAGACTGCTTTTGGCTGCGCCTCTGGCAGTGTTCGCTCTGCCCCGTCGGGCAGCACCGGCCGGCAGCCCGGGCGCCCCCTCAGCCTTAGCCACAAGGGTGGACTCGACGTGGTGATAGTAGTAGTAGTAGTAGTAGTAGTAGTAGTAGTAGTAGTAGTAGTAGTAGTAGTAGTAGTAGTAGTGGTAGTAGTAGTAGTAGTAGTAGTAGTAGTAGTAGTAGTTGTAGTTGTAGTTGTAGTAGTAGTACGAGTAGTAATAGTAATAGTAGTAGTAGTCGTCGTCGTCGTCGTAGTAGTAGCAGTAGTAGTAGTAGTAGTAGTAGTAGTAGTAGTAGTAGTACTCGTAGTAGCAGTCGTCGTTGTCGTAGTAGTAGTAGCAGTAGTAGTAGTTGTAGTAGTAGTAGTAGTAGTAGCAGCAGTAGTAGTAGTAGTAGTAGTAGTAGTAGTAGTCGTAGTAGCCGTAGTAGTCGTAGTAGTCGTAGTAGCAGTAGTAGTAGTAGTAGTAGTAGTAGTAGTAGTAGTAGTAGTAGTAGTAGTAGGTAGTAGTAGTAGTAGTAGTAGTAGTAGTAGTAGTAGTAGTAGTAGTAGTAGTAGTAGTAGTAGTAGTAGTAGTAGTAGTCGTAGTAGTCGTAGTAGTAGTAGTAGTAGTAGTAGTAGTAGTAGTAGTAGTAGTAGTAGTAGTAGTAGTAGTAGTAGTAGTAGTAGTAGTAGTAGTAGTTAGTAGTAGTAGTAGTAGTAGTAGTAAGTAGTAGTAGTAGTAGTAGTAGTAGTAGTAGTAGTAGTAGTAGTAGTAGTAGTCGTCGTAGTAGTAGTAGTAGTATTTTTAGTCGTAGTTTTAGTCGTAGTAGTAGTAGTAGTAGTAGTAGTAGTAGTCGTAGTAGTGGTAGTAGTAGTGATGGTAGTAGTGGTAGTAGTCGCCGTCGTAGTAGTAGTCGTAGCAGCAGAAGTAGTAGAAGAACTAATAGTAAGAGTAGTAGTAGTAGTAGTAGTAGTAGTAGTGGTGGTAGTAGTAGTAGTAGTAGTAGTAGTAGTGGCAGTAGTCGTAGTAGTAGTAGTAGTAGTAGTAGTAGTCGTAGTAGTAGTAGTAGTAGTAGTAGTAGTAGTAGTAGTAGTAGTAGTAGTCGCAGTCGTAGTAGTAGTAGTCGTCGTCGTCGTCGTAGTAGTAGTAGTAGTAGCAGTAGTAGTAGTAGTAGTACTAATAGTGATGGTGGTAGTAGTAGTAGTAGTAGTAGTAGTAGTAGTAGTAGTAGTAGTCTCATAAGCATGAGGAGCAGCCGCTACAGATGCAGTGGCAGTAGCAGTAGCAGTAGTTGTAGCTGCAGTTGTAACTGTAGCTGTAGAAGTCGTAGCCGTAGCCGCAGTAGTGGTAGTAGTAGTAGTAGTCGTAGTAGCAGTAGTAGTCGTAGCAGTAGTAGTAGTAGTAGTAGTAGTAGTAGTAGTAGGAGTAAAGATAGTAGTAGCGATCGTAGTAGCAGTAGTGGTGGTAGTAGTAGTAGTAGTCGCCGTAATGGTAGTAGTAGTAGTAGTAGTAGTAGTAGTAGTAGTAGTAGCAGTAAGAGTGGCAGTAGTACAAGTAGTAGTAGTAGTAGTAGTAGTAGTAGTAGCAGCAGTAGTAGTAGTAGTAGTAGCAGTAGTAGTCTTAGTTGTACTAGCAGTAGTAGTTTCCGTCGTAGTAGTAGTAGTAGTAGTAGTAGTAGTAGTCGCAGAAGTAGTAATAGTAGTAGTAGTAGTCGTAGTAGTAGTAGTAGTAGTAGTAGTAGTAGTAGTAGTAGTAGCAATATTAGCCACCCGATTAGTATTAGTAGTAGTACTCGTAGCAGTACAGGTCGTACTAGATATAGTAGTAGAAGTCGTAGTCGTAGTCGCAGTAGTAGTAGTATTAGCAGTAGTCGCAGTAGTAGCAGTAGTAGTAGTAGGGGTTAGTAGGCGTAGCAGAAGCAGCAGCAGCAGCAGTTGCAATTGCAGTAGACGTAGCTGTAGCAGTAGCTGTAGTTGCAGCTGTGGCTGCAGCTGCTATCAGCAGCCCCAGTAATAGTAGTCGTAGAAGTAGCCGTAGTAGTAGTAGTAGTAGTAGTAGTAGTAGTAGTAGTAGTAGTAGTAGCAGTAGTAGTAGTAGTAGTAGTGGTAGTAGTAGTCGTCGTAGTCGTAGACGTAGTCGTAGTCGTAGTCGTAGTAGTAGTAGTAGTAGTAGTAGTAGTAGTAGTAGTAGTAGTACTAGTAATCGCAGTGGCAGTGGTAGTAGTAGTAGCACTAGTCGCCGTAGTAGTAGTAGTAGTAGTAGTAGTAGTAGTAGTATTAGTAGTAGTAGTAGTAGTAGTCGTCGCCATGGTAGTTGTCGTAGTAGTAGTAGTAGTAGTAGTAGTAGTAGTAGTAGTAGTAGTAGTAGTAGTAGTAGTAGTAGTAGTCGTAGTAGTAGTAGTAGTAGCAGTAGTAGTAGTAGTAGTAGTAGTAGTAGTAGTAGTAGTAGCAATAGCAGTAGTAGTATTAGTAGTAGTAGGAGTAGTACTGCTAGTATCAGTAGTAGTAGTAGTAGTAGTAGTAGTAGTAGTAGTCGTAGTTGTCGTTGTAGTCGTAGTAGTGATAGTGGTAGTAGTAGTAGTAGTTGTTGTATCAATCTTTGTAGCCGTAGTCGCAGGAGCAGTCTTAGTAATCGTAACAGTCGTAGTTGTAGTAGTAGTAGTAGTCGTAGTCGTAGTAGTAGTAGCAGTAGTAGTCGCCAGAGTCGTAGTAGTAGTAGTAGTAGTAGTAGTAGCAGCAGTAGTAGATTGTGTAGTAGTCGTGTATTAGTCGTAGTAGTAGTAGTAGTAGTAGTAGTAGTAGTAGTAGTAGTCGCCGTCGTAGCCGCAGTCGTAGGAGCAGTATCAGTAGACTTAGCAGTCGTAGGTGTTGTCGTTGTATGAATAGTAGTATTTGTAGTTGTAATAGTCGTAGTAGTCGCAGTCGTAGTCGTAGGCGTAGTCGTAGTAGTAGTAGTAGTAGTAGTAGTAGTCGTAGTCGTAGTCGTAGTCGTAGTCGTAGTAATGGAAGTCGTAGTAGTAGTAGTAGTAGTAGCAGTAGTAGTAGTAGTAGTAGAGGTAGTAGTCGTAGTCGTAGCCGTAGTCGTAGTCGTAGTCGTAGTCGTAGTAGTAGTCGCCGTAGTAGCAGTAGTAGTAGTAGCTGTAGCTGCAGATGTAGTAGCCGCAGTAGTCGTCGTAGTAGTAGTAGCAGTAGTAGTAGTAGTAGTAGTAGTCGTAGTAGTAGTAGTAGGAGGAGGAGGAGTAGTAGTCGTAATCGTAGTCGTAGTTGTAGTCGTAGTAATCTTAGTAGTAGCCGTAATGCTAGTCGTAGCAGTAATCCCAGTAATTGTAGTAGCAGTAGTAGTCGTAGTAGTAGTAGTAGTAGTAGTAGTAGTAGTAGTAGTAGTAGTAGTAGTAGTAGTAGTAGTAGTAGTAGTCGTAGTAGTACTAGTCGGAGTAGTAGTATTTTTGTGTTGTGGCTGCCGTAGTAGCAGTAGTAGTAGCAGTAGTAGTAGTAGTAGTAGTAGTAGTAGTGGTAGTAGTGGTCGTAGTAATAGTAGTAGTAGTACTAGTAGTAGTAATTGTTGTTGTAGCAGTTGTAGTAGTAGGTTAGCTGCTGTCGCTGTTGACCATCATTCTAGCAGTAGGAGCGGCAGTAACAGCTCGTCTGGTTATGCCAGTAGGTTTGCAGCACGAACCACGGCAACGGTAGTTCTGCGAGGAGCAGTAGTAATAGTACCGGTCGCACTCAGAATTGCAGTCCTAGTAGTAATCCTACAAGTTGTCGTCGCCTTTCGGCGCAGTGGTGCCAACAGCAGTTCTGCAGAGTACCACTGGTGGTGTTGATGGTAACAGTGGCACTCGTCGTAGCAGTAGTGGTAGCTGTGCATTGGTATTGTGAGGAGTTGGCGACAGTGGTAAACGTGAAAGTAGCCATCGCCCTCGTAACACTAGCATTATCATCGTAATAGTGGCAGTGGAGGTAGTAGTTGTACAAATGGTGATGCCAGCGAAGTAACATGATAAGTTGTAGTTGCGATTGAAGCGGAATTCGTTGCAGTGGCGGTAGTCGTGATGCAAGTGGCAGCTTGAGCGCAGGTTGTACTAAGCTAGGCGGCAGTCATAGTAGTAATAATACTAGAAGTGGCCAGTAGAAGAAGTAGCAGCAGCAACAAAACAAAACCAACACCGCTCAAGATTACGAAGTGATCGGCGACGACGGCGTCCAGCCAAAGTCCGCTCGAAACCAGGGCGACCCCTCCTAGCCTCCATCCTGGCGAGCTTTGCGAGCCGCGTCCAGCCGTGGCAGCAAGAAAACCTCCAGGAGCGCCCCGAGAACTCTGTGGAGCGACAGCGACGACGACGACGTCGCCGTCGCCGTCGCGGTTGCTGGCGGTCAGCCCCCGCGAGGCGGCATGGGCGCCGAGCAGAGCGCCCAAGGCATTGGCCCGGAGGTCGGGGGAAGGAGAAGCGACACCACCACCACCAGCAGGGGGGCCACCTCCAGCGAGGAGGTCCGAGATGCCTTACCGAGCTGGGGAAAGGGGGGTGTCTCGAGCAAAAGGGCGAGGACCACACCTCCAGGGGGACCCGCCTGGCTCCTGTCGCTGATGGTCCCTGGTGGTGGGGGTGTTGTCGCTTTCCCTTGTTCCTCGGAGGCAGCGCCGCGGGCGATGTGCGCGCGGCAGGGCGGCGACGCCGCGCTCTCCCTGGCAGACCTGCTGCCCCCCGCGCCGCCCGCGCCCGCCGCTGGGGTGCAGCAGCTGCCGGACGCCGGGCCACCACTCCCTTCACCACGGGATCTGAGGCGGGGGGTATCCACGGCCACCGCCCGGAGGATCGAGCTTCCGGTGGCCCTGGCGGTCGGTGGGTATGGGTATATATGGATCTTGGCATGGATGGGGCTATAGCTATGGCTACGGATGCGGATACGGATGTAGGCATGTCTGTATGTGTATATGTGTAGGTGTGCGTGTGTTTGTATGTGTACATGTACATGTATATGTATGTGCAAGTGTACATGTATAGGTATTTGCCAATATGTATGTACTTGCATGTGTCTGTGTCTTGTGTATATGTACTTATATGTGTGTATGGGTATGTGTCTGAATGTGTATTTGTCGATGTGAATGTGAATGCATGCACACATGTAACTTTATCTTGCACATAGATATGTGTATACGTAGTTATATGTTCGTACGTGTATGCTGTTGCATATCGATATGTGTTCATGTGAAGGTGCATATGTATGTGTTATGTAGAGGTGTGTACACATACGTACATGTATATGCATATGTCTATGTATATGTATATGTTAATGTATATGTATGTGCAACGGTGTGTGTTATGTATGTGTATAAGTATGGGTTTGTTTATATGTATGTGAGTATGTACATGCGTATGACTCGGTATACGTGCATTCGTGTGTATATGGTTGTTATGTGTGTATGTGTACATGTATATACAGGTGTATATGTGTATGTGCATGCACATACATGTATATACGGATATACCTGTTCATATATGTTTAGCCGCCCCCCCGAGGCCAAACATATAGCTATATCCACCACCCCCTGGGGTTCCAGGGCGTCGGTTCCCCGTGCAGTGGGTGTGGATGAATATCGCCGCGTCGCATCCACGGCGTGGCCGCCACTCTGCGCGCCGAGCACCGATGCAGGCCTCCCAGATGGGGTCCGAGCAGATGGGGTCGGAGCATCGCGCCGCATGGCCGATGCGCCGGCGATGCGTTTTGGTGTGCAGCCTGGTGTTCTCCACGCCGGCGCCGCCGATGCATCACCGACGTCGCCGTGACATCGCCGATGCATCGGGGACGCGGCGCGATTCTGAGGTCACCGCACGGTCTGTCAACAAACTGGTTTGGGACCCCTAAGTATCCGAGCCGGGCATTTCACCATCACTATGTACCGCCTGGACGTGTGCATTTTTCTTTCGGCGAGGACCATCGAGGAGCATCCTTGACAATGTGGCGAAAAAACCACGCACGAAACCGAAAAAAACACAGGGAATGGACGTCCAAGCGATGGCGAGCGCCTGCGGGGGTCCCCACTGATGGACCCCCCATGCGAGGGATCGATCCCCGCGTCGCAGAGTATGAGCCGATGATCCTCAGGACCCAGGAGGAGAAGGAGGAGGAGGAGGAGAAGGAGGAGGAATGGAGAGGAGGAGCAGGAGGAGGAGGAGCCCAATGTGTGTGTGTGTGTGTGTGCTACCCCGTGCAGGTCCACCGACAGCACGCAGCCCGTCTCGACCCTCACGGGACCGCCTGCGTCGAGCTGAAGGGCTTTAGTGGACCAGCGCACGGTGGCGCTCACACACACACACACACACGATCTGGGGACCATCGCAGGCGCCGCCAGGGGGCTCCCGCGCGGATCCGAGAAGTCCGCGCGGAGCTCCGAGCTTTCATGTTCATGTCGTTGTTCGTTCCCCTACCGGGGGCGCCCACACACATTGACGCTCGCTGAGGGGCAGCGCGCGACCTGTGCTTCTGGGGCGACGGGGGGGAGGGCAATGCTTTTGTAGGGCAAGAGCAAGCCTGCGTAGCCCAATCGTCGGCAAGAGCAAACCTGAGATCAGAGCTTCTCGCGAAGGGCGGCTGTAAGGATTGCTGTCGACCGATCAAGCGCGCCCGGCGAGCGTACGGGGACCTGGCCCTGGAAACAACGCTGCCTCCCCAGCGACCTTCAACACACACACACACATCAGGAGGGAAAAAAACACACAGACACAATTAATCCTCGATTCCCCCGAAAATATGGGAAAACATGGGAACTGGGGGGGAAGACGGAAGCCCAGAAAATATAGGAAAATATGGGGAGTAGTTTTACTTGTGTGGACTTGTTTGTGTGTCCTGGGGCCCCTTTCAACACGCACACACGCGCACACGATCTGCGGATCCTCGAGCGGGGCGCTCCAGAGAGGGCCTCCCCTCGCCCTCGGCGGCCCAGCAGACGGGCCGGCGAAGGGTGGGCGGCAGGCCTTTTTGTATCGGCTGGCGCGAAAACGACGCGAAGATCGGGACAAAATCGGATCGGGATAACTCGAAACCTCCGAGAATCGGCGGGTTTGGAGGACGTATTGGGCGCCGCGGCCGCTCCAGAGCGTTCCGGCACGCTCTGAGAGCGCTCCGGAACGCTCTGGAGCGATTTATCCCGATCCTAGCCCTGTTTTAGGCGCGCCGCAGAAGGTCGGCGGCAGGCTGGCGGAAGGAGGAGGAGGACCCAGAGGGGGAGCAGGAGGAGGGAAAGAGATGGCGCCGTCGGGGGGCGGCAGAGAAATTCAGTTGCGCCGCACCGAGGGGCGCTGTCCAGAAGCCAATGGCTGCGGTCTCGTGTGCACGCCCACGCTTGCAGAACTGTCTGGCTGTGAATGACGAATGGCCTTCGTAGGCCCGCACATTGGCCCGCTCGTGGCACAGGTGCCCCGGTGCGCAATGCGAAGGAATGGCAAGTCACGCGAACGAATGTCGAACAAACCGACGCAATGCCAAGCAATGCCACAAAGCACAGCGCAATGCCACGCCGAGGATTTCATGTTGCAGCGGGTCGCAACGGGGCATTCGAAAGTAAGGAATTCTTGGGGAATGCACCGAATCCTGGGTTCACGACATTTTTTGGGGAAATGTGGTTGCGAACCCGGGATTCAGGTCAGTTTGGTGGAAATCGTCGTATGGGCTTTGTTGGAGCCTTGGTGGGCCAGCTTGGGGCCCTCTCGAGCCGTCTCGGGGCCATCTTGGGCCGCGTTGGGGAGTTTGGGCCTTCTAGGGACCTTACGGGGGCTACGTGGGCCGTCCCATGGCATTCTTTGGCTTCTCTTGGTGGCCTTGTGAGGGCCTGTTGGGTTTCTTTTTGGCCCATTCTTGGATTCCTTGAGCAGTCTTGGGGCCATCCAGGCCGTGTAGAGGGTCTCTCGGGGGTCTCTTGGGGGTCTTTTGGGCCACCTTGAGGCGATACAGGAGGCCATTTTGTCAGTTCTGGACGCTGCTCAAACCCGAACAGCGAATATGCTGAAAATGCACGTTTCCCTAAAGGAATGCAGGGATTATGGCGTTTTGGGAGTCCTGTTCAGGGCCTCCAGGGCCGTCTTCGGGGCCTTCTGGAGGCCATCTGAGTCCTTCTTGAAGCGCTTTTGTGCCGTTTTGGGTCTCTCTTCGGCCTCTCTGATCACCGCTCTAATCGCTTGGGGTCCGCTGGAAAGACCCGGCCAAGCGCCATGGGAGTTCCGGGACGAGCCGGGGGACCCGGAAACCCCGGATCTTGGGGGTTTGGTTTTGGGGTGGGGTGGGTTGGGGGGTTTCCCCCTTCCCCGGGTGGGGAGGTTTCCCCTCCCCCGGCTTGTAAACATATTGGATTTGGGCCGCCTTGGGGCTGTATGCGCCCGTCTGGGGTTTACTCTCGAACGCCTCAGAACTTACCAGGGATTGAAGGCGCACGTCGGTTGTACGTAAATTGCGATGGATTTTGACCTGGGGAGTGGGCGCGTGGTAATTACTTCACAACGGATTGTGGCCCTGGGGTCTCGCATCACTTGTATTTTGCGAGAGATTGTGGCCTCGGTAGCGCGCATGCGTAGGTGTTTTATTTGTCCCATGACACCCAGAAAGTTCGAGGAGGTAGCTCATGGCCCACGGGTTCCTTTCGGGCCGAAGGGGTCGCGTTTTTTTTTTAGTTCAGTCTCGAAGCGGGGAACAGTGATTGATAGCAGCTGAAACCTTGGAACCGAGGAGCTGCATCGGAACTGGTACTGGAGCCGCGAGGGACTAAGGACTGCTTGCAGGGCGCATGCACTTGATCTTCGTAGCCTGTTGGCCCCCACAGGGGGCTATAGGCGTCTTCGACCCATCCCGCCACCGTGTCTGGGTCGTGGACAAGAGGCCTCTCAGAAGCCTCTTAAGGGTCTGGAGGCCTCTTGAGGGCCTTTTTGGAAGCCTCTTGGGGGGCCTCTCGGGGTCTACTGGTCTACTGGCTATTGGAAGTCGCCTCTTGGGGATATGTTGGCGATCTGGGGGGCCATATGGGAGGAAAGGGCTCGAAGTGCCAGATCCTGTTCCCCGTCTTGGGCTGGGGCCGCCTTGAGGGTCTCTTGGCCTCTTTCTGGGTTTTCGTGGGCTGGCTTCGGGCGATCTTGCGGCCGTCTTGGACGCCTGTCACATTGAAGAAACCCGGACGCGAGCATCATACAGAAGCCTTCGGGATTCGTTTTGGTGTTTGCCTCTTGGTGGGCTGGCCCCCGTGGCCTCCAAGACAGCCGAAGCGAAGAGGCCCCCAAGAGGGCTCCAGGATGGGCCCCTGGACCATCTCAGGCCACGCTGGAGGTGTGGAGCCCGATCAGCATTCCGAAGTGCGCTCACGATGCCCCTGGCAAATTCACGTGGGGGACGCGAGATCAGCTGGGAGCGCCCGTGGCTCGTGGGCCCAGGCCCCGTAAAGAGCACAAGACTCGACTTACGAGCTTTAGTGCAGAGATGTCGAAGGGACCTGAGGACACTCCAGTCAGCTCAGCGCCTGCGGCACGGTGGCATACTCAAAGTATGTGTATGTCCACACGCATGTATATTTATACATAACGTGTGCGCACACGTGTATACATCTATGCGTATACAGCACCAATGTATAAGCTTAGATTATGTTTACATCGAAGTGTAACTGTGCGTACCTGTGTATATATACACATC